GGAAAGATGCTCGGTCTTTTGCTCACAACCAATGACATCATAAGCGGAATTCCGGCGAAGGAAAGAGAGAGAGAGAGAGAGTGAGAATTTATTAGAAGGCAGAGAGGTCGGCCTGAGCTAGTTCGCTCTAGCCTGCTACTCTATACAGGGGACCAGGGAAAGGGGAATGAAAGAGGGATGAAGTGTGATGATGGGGACAAGAGGGGGTGGTGCGTATGTACGGTAGCCACTTAGCATAGTACCCTACAGTCTAGTTTCTAGTCCAGTGCTTTTTATAAAGTCTAGAACAGCCTTTGTAGCAGTTTTTGACACTGTTTGGTCGTTCATTTCTGACAATATGTGGCTTTCACTTAATGGTGTTCGTCCAATGCTTGCCAACGTTGCAGTTAGCAGAAGGAAGGAAAATGGGAGGAAAGGAACGGCAGGGAGGTTAACCAGCCTATAGCCGGTTTGCTACCCAGCGCATGGGAGGGGATAGGGGAGATGAAAGATAGAGAGCAGAGAAGCAAGAGAGATAAACACAGCACAATCGGCAGCACACGCGCGCACACTCAGTAATAGTTCAGTTTTGTCTTTCGCGGTGTGTGACATTGCTGTTACAGGCGCTTGTTCAAGTCGGTGTCGCGTAAGAATTTCAACAGAGCTTTCGTCGCCTTCTGTTGCAATGTCTTCTCTCGGGCACTTGACAGAATAGTGTCCACAGACATTTGGCTGTTGACGATGCGCGCAAAAGCGGACGCCAGTGACTGTCTCTGGATTTCATACAACGGACAGTCACACAGGATGTGGTGTAGCGTCTCTTCGCAATGACAGGCATCGCAGAGAGCGTTGTCGGCCATTCCTATGACAAAGGAGTAAGATTTTGTAAATGCCACCCCCAGCCATAAGCGATGAAGAAGGGTGGCTTCTCTTCAGTTGAGCCCTGTGGGCATGCGGAGAGCCATCCAAGAGACAGGTGGTGTTGACGATTCGTCTCGTTGCTTGGTCGGCACCATGGTGAAAACGTGATTTCACGCGCAAGTCGTCGAAGATTACTGGCTGCATTGGTCTGCGAAAGTGGTATGGCTTCTCGTATTCCTTCAAGAGCTGCCCGCGCTGCAGTATGGGCATGTTCGTTCCCTATGACGCCGCAGTGACTTGGCAGCCACTGAAGCGTCACATGATGCCCTTTCTCGTGTGAAGTGTGGAGAAGGCACCGAATTTTGCAAACAAGCTGTTCATACGGCCTGTGACGCAGTGCTGAGAACAAAGATTGTAGGGCAGCTCTTGAGTCGCTGAAAATCGACCACTGTTGAGGTGGTTCCTGATTCCTCACACAAAGTGCAGCGCGCAAAGCAGCTAGTTCCGCTGCTGTAGATGCCGTGGAGTGGTCAGTCCTAAAGCTGATGGTAACACCTCTTGCTTGGACAACCACTGCACCTGACGAACACTGGTGGTTCGTGGAGCCATCGGTATTTGTATGTACACTGTCTGAATATTTCTCGTGCGAAAGAAGAAGAGACAGTTGTTTCAGCACGGGCGATGAAAGCTGAGATTTTCTACGGATCCCTGGTACACTAAGATGCACTGTGGGTCAAAAAAGACACCAAGGGGGTATCGACGGTTTAGATGAAGAAGTGACGCCCGAGGGAAGTTTCTCGTTGTACTTCACAATCATTTTAGCGAACGATGCTTGACGCCTCTCTGAAGGCAACAGTGCAAGGTGATGACAGGGAGCACGTGCGAAATGTCTGATGTGCGTTCTCAGGACTTCTGCAGCTATGTGAGTTTGTATTGGATAGTCGCCAGCAATTGCAATTGTTGCCTCTGTTGACCTACATCTGGGCAGACCAAGGCTCACTCTCAGTGCTTGGGCTTGTTCTGCCTGTAGAACACGAACATTGGTCTTGCAGGTATTGCTCAGCAAGGGCAAGCTATATCTCAGAAAACCGATAAACAGGGCTCTGTAGAGTTCCATCATTGCCTCTACTGACATCATCTACGTCTTTCCTGCCAGAAACTTGAACAATTGGCAAATAGCGGTCAGGCGCTTCTTCATATGGGCCACATGCAGACTTCGACAGTGGTCCTTATCAATAATAATGCCAAGAAACCGGTGGGTTCTGGCGTAAGAAATGCGTTGCCCGCAGATTGAGATAACTTAAGAGTCATTGCTTTACGACCCATTTGACGCTATGGTGGTAAAAGCGTTTTAGATAAAGATAGTTAATTGAGGAACAGTTATGAACCACAGTTAAACGAACTATAATCTGGGTTCACTAAAAAGAAAAAAAGCAAGGCCTAAGCGCCGAACACGCCTACATATTTCAAAAGTCCGAGTAGTGCCTTCATGACGTCTGGGGATAACTCCGCCAGCCACTCCTCCAGTGTCACAGGTCTCAGGTTTTTAGGTCTGCCCTTGAAGATCTCGCCCAAAGCTGCACGGTCACCCGGATAATCCAGCTCATGATTACTCGTGAATGCCACTTAGCCACTGTAGCATTATTCATGTGATATCAGCCTGCCTACGTGCGTGTTATATATATATATATATATATATATATATATATATATATATATATATATATATATATATATATATATATATATATATATATATATATATATATATATATATATATATATATATATATATATATATATATATATATATATATATATATATTTCAAACCTGTCTGTATATATGATGTATGACCTTGACCGGCAAGAGTAATTTTTCATTGCCCCGTATTTAATACACGATAATGCGAACGAATTAAGTCAAGCAGCTCCCATTCGGTATCACCTGGTGACGTCATTTCAAGTATCTCAGTTGTATAATAGTCCTTCACACATGCATGTCCTAAATTTAGCTTGAGGTGTAAACGTATCACGACGTATCACGGACAACAGCTGTGTTATAACTCTCGACTTATCTTGCGCGAGGTGACGGCATCTCTAACACACGCAATATTCACAAAACATGTGTGACTCTTACTGTGGTAAAACTTAATATGGCACCGGAAATGTAAGCGCGTGGCTTATATTGAATTCAGCTCAAGCCGGTTCGTTGATACATAGATAAATAGAGCGGAAGTTTCAATTTTCTTCATTTCTCTTTTACTCCGACATGTGTGTGTACATATGCATTTTTTTTTCTAGCAGCCCTAGTGAAAACGCGCCATGCTCTTTCCTAAATTAATTTTGTTTTAGTTTTTTTTTAAATTTTCTTTGAGATATTATTCTGCCATATTGTATCTACAAAAAGCGTCCATATGGAAGAAATAATCGCTCACCCTACTTAGGTGGTTTCTAATTCGGCGCTTCATTGCTGCTGGTAGGTACGATGCCTCGGAGTGCCAAAGAGCTGCATAGTTTCAACAGTTCCCGGGCAAACCACAATTAGTAATATTTGTTTTTCTATGCTATAATAACCTTTACGTATTCTTCTAGATGGTTGCCCCGCCGTGGTGGTCTAGTGGCTAAGGTACTCGGCTACTGACCCGCAGGTCGCGGGATCGAATCTCGGCTGTGAAGCCTGCCTTTTTGATGGTGGCGAACATTCTGTAGGCCTGTGTGCTCAGATTTGGGCGCACGTTAAAGAACCGCACGTGGTCGAAATTTCCGGAGTCCTCCACTACGGCGTCTCTTATAATGATATGGTGGTTTTGGGACGGGAAACCCTACATATTATACATCAAGCAATTCTTCTAGATGGTTTCAAATGTCTTCACCACCCACATGCATAAAATGTCTTCTTGGTTACTTGGAAGAAACTTGGGAGAAAAAATTGTCAGCAGATCCCACGTGCATGGGGAATCGATGTCATACGAAGCATGTGAAGGGAAGGTGACAGCGTTGCAACATTTTATTGAGCGAAACGTTAGAAAACGATGCTGTCCATATGTTCCACGCACAAACAAAAGTTAAACAGTCACATGTTTACTGCTGCGTAACGATGCCAACAACAATATGAACAATACCAATACTAGAAGCGATAAGCTGATAAGTCCCTTGTGGCAGCAAGAATGGCGGCCCCGGACAGTGCTAGGTACATGGGATTCAGTGGATGTTGCTTCTCTACAATGGTCGTTAAACCGGCGAGACGGCTGCATGATAGGAGTACGTATGTACTGTTTATAAGGATTGGATAGCCAGCACTACAACAACGATTGACGGAACATGTCAATTGTGGCTGCAGTGCTGGCTATTCATTCTATCTCGAATTTTTTTTCTCTCTGACAACACTCACTTTTTTTATTTACAACCAACGACGCTGATACCGACATTCCTGTGAAATAAGCTCTCTAACGCCTTGAGGAATCCTTTAGTGTCACTAGCTCAAAATATTTTTTACGCACAATATACAAAATTTCGATTGATGCCCACAATTGCGTAACAACGTGTGTTCTCAAACTTAACGCTTCTGCCATAAGTTGAGCTGTTTCCACTGTGACAAGCACGTGTACCTCTAAACGATTGCGCATGCAAAGACAAACAGCCCATATTGTGAAACGGCGGTTTCACCTGTCCACTACTAATTTTTTTCCGTAGTGCCTTGTGAAACTTTTCATATGTATTTCCTCTAACGTGGTTCTGACGCATCGATATTTATGATTGCAACTAGCACTGAAAGAAAATCAAAGAGAATCTCTTGACACTGCTGAGTACGTTCGTTCGGCCTGTACTATTTGCTGTACTCACTTAGCTGTTGCGAATATCACCACTCTGACATGGCTTAGTGTCTTTATTTACAGGATGAGTATACGTCATTGGCTCGACTTCATGGCCAGCTGCTGTGCATCCGCCCTTCACAGCGGGCTACATTGACGTTCTCATAATGTACACTAGAAAGCGTTGCATCCACGGCCTTCATATTTAAAACGACTGCTGCTTTCACGTTTGACGAGAAGCGTATGCACTGAAGCATCCCCTTAGTCGTTTGTAGCTTCGTGCTACAAACGGGTTGTTGTCTATTTTCCCTTACTCATAGCTGCGTTACATTTCTCGAGTCAAGTATTTATTTGGCCAGATTTTAAGTACTGTGCTGCGGTATTAGAAATCTGACGAATTTCGCCACAAGAGTTCTGCTTGTTCTGAAATTTTTCATCAGCGACAAAGGCAAGTCGGTTACGCACTTTTCGTTTTCAAGGAACCGTATTAGGTTAATTTTGGTAGTAAGCGCTAAAATTTTACACAGGAACACAAGATAGATTAATACCAACTGGGCCGGTATAATTTTTTATTACGTCTTGCGTTCTTTAGTTTCGGCGCTGTGGAGTAGTGGGAATGGCGCTCCGCCACCACACCGAAGGTAGTGGGTTTCATCTAAACTACAGCAGTCGCATTTTCACAAAGATGAAGCTATATACACCTTTGTAATGTGTGATGCAGTGCGCAATAAACAATGTCAGATGGGAGAAACTTCTGGAGCCCTCTATCGTGAAGACTCTGATCATTACATCATGCTTTTGAAACGTGAAACCCCCGATATGATTGTAAAAGGTTATTTTTAGCAAGTACTTTTGGGCAGCCATTTAACACGTAACTCTCATACCCGCTATTTGACGGCTGACTTCTTTATTTGAAATATTGATGGATCTTTTCAATGATTCCAGGTTACTACAGCCAATGTCTTTTCTTTTTGTATATGCAATATGAGAGACTCCGTACAAGAGAACAGAAATAATGCAGCAAATGTGCTGACGAGTTCTTTCGGCAATTATTTTGCATCTCTTCATGTACCGTTAAGAAATTCTTCAAGGTAATTGAAGGAAATTGAAGACTCTGTTGAAAAAACAAGGGATGTTATTCGGCGGTGCTATGATTCGGCCATGATCTATTTTCTTGCCGCCATGGGTAGCATTCCTCGGTGATACAGGCCTGTACTTTACAATGAATCAATTGATTAATATGTTACTTTTAACGTCCCAAAACCACCATATGATTATGAGAGACGCCGTAGTGGAGGGCTCCGGAAATTTGGACCACCTGGGGCTCTTTAACGCGCACCCACTTCACGATGAAATACTGCGATATGAGGTGCCACTGCGTAGCCATCGTGCGGCGCAGTAACTATCAATATTCTGATGGTTTGCGCAGCAATAAGAGAAAGCCAGCGTAATCAACTCTTCTTTTATTTCACATTTCTCTTCACGCTTCCAGGTCAAAATGAACGAAGATTCACTCATCCAAGTTGACGGCCTGCTGGTCAACGACTTCCTTCGCGCGGAAAATGTTCGCGCGGCGATGAAGTACCAACCGCGAGACGATGACGTGTTCATTGCCACATATCCAAAGTGCGGCACAACCTGGACCCAGTACATCGTGTGCAACATCTTCACGGGCGGCAACGCTCCGAACAACGTCACTGATTTCCTGCTGCAGGCGCCCTACTTTGATTTCATGGGTGCTGACGCTCCGAAGAAGATGCCGAGGCCCGGCGCTCTGATGACCCACTTACCATTTAGCATGCGTCGCCACTCCAACAAGGCCAGGTACTTTCTTCGATTTTATGACTACCGCAATTGTATCATTGGATGTATCTGACGTAGGTTTACAATAATTTTGTGCATTTCTAAACTGAGAAATTGTTTATATAGATAGATAGATAGATAGATAGATAGATAGATAGATAGATAGATAGATAGATAGATAGATAGATAGATAGATAGATAGATAGATAGATAGATAGATAGATAGATAGATAGATAGATAGATAGACAGATAGATAGATAGATAGATACTGTAAAGGTATGTCTGGTTAGTGGTCATATGCACCGCACTTAGAAACAGTCGCGTGAAGAGGAAGCACCTCGAAAGTGTAGTTTCAGTAGATGGTTTTAACAAATTTTATGGATATATTTTTCAGGGTCTTTTTTAATATTTATTTATTGTATCGCTGTGAAATTGCCTCCACATGGGAAAAATATAGGACCAGCATAGCATATTCTGGATTCCCTCCCACATGAAAATTTAAGAAATATGTCTCTCTGTGATATGTCTACTGCTAAGCGGGGTGGAGCGGGCTCATTTTCTGTCATAATGGCTGGATTTTATTGTGACTGCACAGAAGAAAACAGTTCGAATTTTACCCCTACAGATACATATAGGTGTATGCGTTAAGAAATGCAGGGTTGTCAAGATTATTCCGATGTCCTTCATTACCGTGTGTCACACAGTCGTTACCGTAACTGTAGTGTGTACAACGAAATATTTTATTTCTTTATATTTTGGACGTTTTTCTTTCCTGAAAAAGGCAACACACTTGTTTTTTCGCGAGCACCGCTTTATGGATACACGTGAAGTACAATACTTTCCGTAAAAAAAAAAGAGCGCTAAGAGAGCAGCTTGATAGATTACAAATATAACTTTTTTCCTTTTCGGCACAGGAAAATGCGCTTCTTTGAAACAAACACACACAAACACAAAAAGGAGTTGAATGAACATATTCAAACTACGTGGAAACAGTGACAAACGAAACAGCTGTCTCATAAAACAGTTGTTTTTGCCGAACATCCCTGAACTATAATCTGCAGCGCTCGCACGTGTGGGGTGATTCATTAAAGAGGAAAAATAGATACGTCACATGCTCTGAAAAGCCACTTCCGTAAGACATATACTTCATCCGGAAATCTTTTAAGAACCAAATGTGTCACCTGCCGTGATAGTTTACCACTAAAGGAATGCTTGCTTCTCTCTAAGTGTGACTTGAGCAGATGCTCATATGAGTGCTTGCCGTATGTTTCAAGGTATATGAAAATATATTTTGTTTATCTAATAATTTATTTTTTACTCACAGGGCCAAATGGTATTACAGAGGGGGGCTGGTCATTATAACAAATGTAACTGAACAAAGAGCAGTGAATGTGGTTAGATCGTAAAAAAATCTGTTGCAAATAGAATGTTTGCTAGTACGTTTATATAGTAATGCATGTTAGGTAATACAACACGGAACCTAAATATGCCGTCTTAGCTTATGCCACGAAAAGCTTATTACACGATGTTAGCTAATGCATCGCAGAAGATGTTATCACTAATAGCGATAATGTCACCGGGAAGTATGTTGCACTCCTTTGATGTACAAGCATAAATGAATTGAAGAACATTTATTGTGTTGCATGAAGAGATGCCGACATTGTAACGGTGATTTATGCGGCGGGATATGTGCTCAGGGCGAAGAAGTAGTTGGTCATGCAGGAAGAGATGATGGTATATCGTGTGCATAGTGTTAAACGGGAGACTTTTCTGTCTTTGCACTCCGAGAGAACGGAGTACCAGGGAAGTTTTCGTGATTCATATGCTTGTTGTTCTGTTATAATTAGACAATATAAAGCAAATAGAGTTATCCTGAACAACTATAAGGGAGAGAGGAGAGAGAGAAAAAAATAGAGAGGAAAGGCAGAGAGGTTAACCAAGCTTGGCTCTGTTGGCTACCCTACACTTGTGGTGGGGGAAAGGGGGAATAATAGAAAGGAAAGAGATAGGAAAGAGGACGAGTAAGAAAGAGTCTGGATGAATAGTCAGGTCAAGACTACACAGCATGGTCTCACGCTGTTCTTTCACAAGCGCTTGTGAAGTCTGGTGGTTTTCAAGAAGTACAAGACGGCTTTCGTGGTTTTTGCACATAAGGGAAGTTCACAGATTAAATAAAGGGCTAGAACACGGCTGTGGCATATTCTAGGTAAGGGCGTATTAGCATTTTATAAAGCTGCAGTTTTAGTCCATATGGAGCATTACAAAAGTAACGCCGTAAATAGCCAAGCATGTGATTAGCATTGTAATTATGTATCAACTATGACGTGACCAGGTGCAATAGGGTTTTATGTTAACTCCAAGATACTTATAAGAGTTAGCAGAATCCAGATGAATGTTATTAAGATGACTTAGCTCTGCTGCTAATAATAGCTCACGAAGCCCATGATCTCATTTCTTCGAACGTCACTTTATATTGATAGTTTTGACGTGTCTCACATCCTAAACCATGATATAGCTATGAGAGATGCCGTGGTGAAGGGTTGTAGAAATTTTAACCATACAAACGCACAAACGTTTAAATAATCGTGCATAATTTTAACCATCACAGAGTTTCCAAACGGCGACGCCAGAAAAACAGAAACTTTACGCACCGTGTCCGCCGGAAGGGTGGTCATTGAGCTGCGCGCGAACTTCCCTTTACGTAATCACAGCGAAACGCATTCTCACCTTTCCCGCATAAAGCAGACGCCATCCGCGTTTCGGCACTCATAAAACTCCTCCTGCGTGATGGGACGGCGCCACAGTTGGCGTCATGCCGGGGGATATGACACCGCCCATCGCGAGTATGATACATTAAAGCCTTCCGTCTTCCTAATCAATCAAGTCTTGCACGTTTCAGATGGTGAAATTACAAAGATTTAGATAAACAACTCGTATGACGTGTGAAGGACCATTGGTCGGCGTGCTCTGCTAGAATGAGACAGTCTCTCTCACGCGGCATGGTTCTCGCTCAACGCGTCATCATATAAATGACGTAACGTGTGACGCAGCACAGGGCGGGCCTTCCGGCACACCCGGTGCGTAAAGTTTCGGTTTTTTCAGCATCTCGGTAAACTAAGTGATGGATCTCTGAAACTTGGTTAGTTGGCAACAACTTTATTGGAAGTCCGGCAGAGCATTCGCCGACCGGGCCTTAGGTCTCCCGCGTGGAGACCTCAAGACCTTGCCTGGCGGCCGCATCGCGGGCCTGCTGGACGGCCCAGAGTTGGTCGCCGAGGTTGAGGCTGTACAGGGCAGCGGCCCACCGCGGCAGATGGGTCCCGGTTTCGCACCTTGCGAATTTATCTCTAAAAGAACGCACGATCATTTATTTATTTGTAAAAACTAGGCTCACCAGAATTCGTGACGACGAAAAACTTCGTAATATAAAAAAATTTTATTTCAATTAGTTTTGTAAATTATTCATTGCTGAGTGTTGTAATCAGGCGTAAAAATTTTCCGCCTGGGCAGGAACCTGGGTTAGGTAGGAACCTGTCCTCTGCGAAGAGGACAGGTTCCTTCCTAATCTAATTTTTTAAAGGAAAAACAATATTGCTTGAAGAAACCACCGACACACACACACACACACACACACACACACACACACACACACACACATATATATATATATATATATATATATATATATATATATATATATATGTATATAAGCACTTCCTCTTCCTCGGCTTCTCCTACCGGGCCTTCATACATCACATGATTCCCCTCCCCCCGAAAAACGGCATTGATTACAAACTAGAACAAATTCAACAAGATAATAAACAAAATAATGCCCAAATTCACAGTTTCACGTCCCGACGGAGTTTCACAACCTCACCAAACTTCAAGGCCGAGGGAGCAGTCCGGTGAATTCTATAGCAACTCTGGTGAGCGAGGTTGACTGTCGCGTTCTGGCCAACAGATGCACGGCTTAAAGGTAGAAATTACTGATGACACAGCAATTCTTGCGATGAATGAAACAAGGGTGAAAGTCGTTGTAGCATTTGAGGGTCGGATGTCGTAGGCACCGAGTTCTCCGTCGTAGACGCTGCTTTCTGTGTCGTGGCTGAAACAAAACAAGTGCTTGCAGCTTGCATGAGCGAGAACCGAAGCTGATGATGCGATGCCTGTGTTCCTTCATTGTACACGTAGCAGCTGCATGTCTCTTTCGTATCTTTCTGTGGCCTTCTCTCAGTTTTATTTTATCGTAGACATGGCCTTGAAAACTGGTGCAGAAAACTTTGTCGACGTTGCTTTCTGTTAAGATGATTTAGGCGTTGACTTTGTCTTTGCTTCTTTAATTGGCGTTGTCTCCGATTAATCCACAAGTGTACTCGTGATGAGGTTTCGCTTGTTCGATGTTTTTATTCGAGTAAGCGTTGTAGTGCCTGGGGTTCGAGGAGTTGCCTTTGTTGAAATTGCTCGTTTTGTTGCGAAAGTTGGTCAGATGGGTATCTTTCAGGAACATGAGTCCCCTTTTCTTTAAGCGATGATGTGATCAGTAGATAGTCGGTAGTCGATACTCTACTGCTGGGCTTGTCTTGCGATAAAAGCAGCTTGACAGACTGATGAGAAAGGTACCAAGATGTTTGTGAGTCATCATTGATTGTAAATTCTTCTGTCAGTTGACAATGCGTCGGCGTTGGTGGATTCGAAATTTCTGCAGTGCTTTGACTGGCATGTGGGTTATCACTTGACGATGAGAGCACAACAGACATGGCTTGAGATGATTTTGATGTTGTATGTTTTTCTTTTTGCAGAGTGAATAGGCTGACGATGTCTGTCGAAAGACTCTGGTCTGGAACGCCAGGGTGTGGGCTGGTATTGTAAAGATTCACCAGCTCGTCAAGCGTAAATGCCGTCACACGTTCGAAACCGTCTTGGTCTTGTGTGTGACACGAAGCATCAAGTGATTCGGGTAGTTCAGTAACATGTAAAGTGTTGTGGTGCAGTGAACACGTTGAAAATGCCGATTGCATTG